GGAGCTCAAGAAGTTTCCCTTTTAACCCCGCAGAGGGATAATAATACACTGGACAGCAAAAAAACCGGGTAACTCTTACAACTTAAAGTAAGTCTAAAGAAAATTTTACTAGAAAAAAATCCACGCGAACCAGGCAGCAGACGGGACTTGAACCCGCGCCTTTCGCTATCCGGGCGAATGCACTAAATATTATGCTACCTCGGCCCTGGAGCTCTTACTCCGAAACGAAATTTCGGCAACGAACGAATTTTAAACGAAAATTCGCCAGCAACACAAACAATTTTCATGAACGAAAGGAATGAGTCATGTTTGTGGGTTCTTTTTATTTTTCCAATTTTTAGATTACGTTTTTACTTGGAAGCAATATAACTTTAAGACAAACATTTTGATGACATTAAAGGAACCTTCTATGACAGTGTCAGCCGACTAATTTGTAGAGTTGATGCAATCGTCTCATTAAATACTTTGAAGTATTGGAAATACAACAATTAATGAAAATTTGGTTTACTTGTCAATTTTACATGCTAAAAAATGTTGCTGACGCTAAGCAGCCTCACTTGATTAGAAATAGTCAAGCAGTCATTATAGGCTTAATTTAAACAAAAATCCCAAAACGAGAAATGAAAAGGTAAGACTTTTCATTTCGTCAATTTGAGGTCCAAATTTGGCCGTGTAGAATTTTCTCTAGCCTTTCTTAGGCTGCAAGGCAGCGCCATCTCTTTGCATTGTAGGTAACTCACATTGTCTAATGAATACCTATACAAGTATTAAACATTTTAAAGAAGAAATAGCAATTATAGTTATTTTTAGTTTTTATGTTTTAAGCATTTAACTGCAACATGTTTAAATCTAAAGATATTTTTTATAGAAACAATATATATAGATACTTACTTATATATATAATTTGAAGTAAGGTCAATTCTTAGAACTTATCAAAATTATAACGACAAAAAGTACGTTTCATGCTGATTAAAATAAACAGAAAACTTTTGAGATAAAGTTTTTGAGTGGGTTTGCCAAAGAAGTCGTTTTCCAGTTAAATCGGTAGTAAAAATCGTAGCAAAAAGACACGTCTGAGAAAATTATGGAAAAAACCTGAAATAAATATAAAAAGTCATGTTCACGGCGCAGTCTTCCTATTCCATCCATATGGATGGCCTGTGCAGTGGGGACATTGATAGGCTGATGATACTGGTGATAAGATTTATCGGGTAAATATTTAAAAGAATCGAGCACCTTGATTTTAGGTAGTAACAGTTTTGTTAAAATTAGGTGACTTTTTGTTATCTTAGTTCAACGAGCTAAGTAATTATATTATGTGTCAATTGTGCCATTAATGCAACTATGACAAGGTTATTCAAACCCATTAATCTTATTCTCTAAGAAATTTTCCATAAGGTTTTATAATAATTAGCAAAAAATTGCCACTCTAGCACCTGATGGGCGTATGACTATGATTTTGCTATCAATAAGTAGTCTTAGTCTTAGTAGTACGGCGCCGGGCTGTTTCCGCAACTCGACACCCAGTGCCTATTTTGCGTGGGGATTGGCATCAGTCCTGCCATCCCAGCTCCTCCAGAAAGCTCAGCAATCCTCGGATATTGCTGCAGGCTTCTACTAGTGTCCGCGGGCTTCCCATTAGAGAAGTCCTTTGTCTTGCAACGCCTCTGCACTCCAGCAGAACATGGGCGCTCGTCCTCCTCCAGGCAGGCTCTGCACAGAGGGCTGTCAGAAATACCTATATTATAAAACTATTTGTTGAAGTAGCCGTGACCCGTGAGTATCCCACGATTTGTTTCAGGGTTTGTCTAGGTAGTAGCTATCAATAAGTAAAGTGGAGCTATCACAGTGGCACATATTTTTAGTTGCATTCGATTCGAACGACCTCTGTGGCCGAGTGGTTTATACGCCGGGTTTCATGGTGACACCGACTCGAGAGGTCCCGGGTTCGAATACCGGTGGGGGCAGATGTTTGTGTGATGAATACGAGCATATCTGTACTCCAGTCATGGATGTTTAATTTATATTTCTATATAAATATACTTATTTAAGTACAATATATGTATTCTATCCGTTACTCTAGTATCCCATAACACAAGCCTTACAGTGCTTACATTGGAGCTAATTGGTGTGAGTATTGAAAACATTTAGGTATATTTTTATATTTATGTATCAAAAGTTAAGTCTTGATAGCGATTCAATAGAAGTAACGACACGGTTAAGTAAACCAAATTCTATTTAGTCCGTCAGTCAGATTATCAAAAAATAATGGACACGTATTTTTTCTTTGGTCAATCAACCATAAAAAAAATAGCGCTTTAAGTTTGGGAGTCGTAGCAAAACGTGACGTCATGCGGCATTTCAAATGAATATATTTCAGTAATGTTGTAATTATGTGAATAAATAAAAAATACGTATCCACTACTTTTTGATAAATCCACCTGATATCTATACCTGAAGAACTAAAAACGTTTTAAACGTCAGCCCATCCCGATTCCTATCGTTAGATTAAATAAATAATAAATATTTCCAACACTCATACCAATTTGCATAGCCTTAAAGTAATCACTGTAGGCTTGTGTTATGGGATACTAGGGTAACGGATAGAATACATATATAAGTATATGTATATAGAAATACATATTAAACATCCATGACTGTAAATACCACTCGGCCACGGAGGTCGTCATATGAGTAATGTATAAATAAATTATATACATATGAATACTATTTGTCTTAGCGAACTTCGTACCGCCATAAAATAATAGGGGTTGGTGGTAAAAGGGTGAAAATTTAGGGTTGTATGTATTTTTGTATGATGTCATAAAAAAATGTCAAAAAAAAATATTTAAGGGTGGATCACCCTTAAGATTTAGGGGAATGAAAAATAGATGTTGTCCGATTCTCAGACCTACTGCATATGAATATAAAATTTCACGAAAATCGAAAATAAAAGTCGAGAATTTATAAGTAAATCAAATCTAACTTACACAATGAAACCTTGTTCTGAAATAAATGATTGGAATTGAATTGAATTATAAATGAATTAATTATTGATAGCAGAATGAGTAATCTAGAGCAGCATCTTGCTCCAACAGCTGATCGGCCCCTACACGAGTCACGTTCAAGAACTTGTCGCAAAATCACTTTCACCTACGTTTTGATTTATTAATCAACTATTTTTGTGATTTCACTAAGTTAATACGACTTAAAAAACTAACAACTTATCCTAATAATAATCATGAGAGCGAAACTATTGGTGTTATTTATCAGCGATGCAGCGGCAATCCATTTTTGCCGTTGCAACATTATGCTGAGGTGGGGCCTAGTTGACGATGTACCTTTTGTTTTATGTTTGTTGTGTATTTATTGTAATTGTTAATGTATGTCGTCAATAAATGTTTTTCTATCTTCTTTTTTTCTTCTATTTACAACGATTTTGTTTGTTCACTAGAGTTTGAGAATAGCTGATTTCCTGTACGAATTGGAACTCCCACCCGTCTGGTAAATAACCTCCACTTTACAGAAATTTTAAAAACTGATACCATAAGCAGAGAATCTGCTATTCCTTATCTTTGTTAAATATGTTTTAAGAGAGGAGGAGGGCATAGCGGACTTTCTGCTCGAATCGAAGCTCCCGTTTGGGGAGGTAACTCCGCCTTATGCGCTTATTCCACCTGTCTAAATTCAGACGACGTTGAAATAGCATTTAGGAAGTTAGGATCCTAATTAGCATCCTAAATCGGAAGAAGTGTGGCTTCTGACTGACTAAATCATTTAGTATCCTAATTAGAACGCAATTTAGGAAGGTGTAATAGCGTTTAGATGCTTCAGCCGCACCGCAGGTGTCACTGCGTGAGTACGTGTTGTGTCTACGATTACGAATTACGCGAATGTGCGATGTCGGCGGTAAAAGAAAAAGAAGTTATGAGTAACATAATCGAATTGTATAGACATATGCCGTATCTTTGGAATAAAAATAATATTAATATTCTTTCACCCACGTTTTCGTTTTTTACTTCATTTTATTTTTATTGAGCCAACGGTTAAGGCCTACGAGAAGACAGATTTTTTGTTGCTTCAACAGGACTGGAGCCATTACGAAAAAGTCCGACTGAATTCGCCGCCCGCTTGTAAGTCTTGTAACTGACTGAATCAGTAACTAAATTAGTCAAGTGTAATCAGAAGCTTCTAATTAGCCTTCTTTTAAGGATTCTTACTAGGACGCCTGAATTTAGTCAGGTGGAATAAGCGCTTTACAGAAGATCACAGTAAAATAAAAATGTTGTCTGTAAATTAGGTTTACGGACGATAATATTACGTGATAACGTGTCGTTCCTCTGTTTTCCTCGGATAAGTTTTGTGGGGTTTTTTGTTCCGATTCCTTTGAGCCCAAGCACGCCTCTGTATCTCTAGGGGGGTCTGAGTTAGGCTCCTAGGGGTATGGGCGGGGAGATCACCTCGCAAACACTGCGGAACGTGACACTTTTTCGTGCATGCAGCCGGTGCTAATCGTCATGAATGACGTTAATAACACAACCTTTTGGTGGTGTTGTGGCTCAGGGCTCCTCTGCAGGGTGGGTTCAGGCCGGCAAGGTGAGGATGGCTGGAGCGGCACATCTTCTGCCGTATCATCTATTCTCGTGACTGGACTCCCACTTACACCTAACATCTGGTGGGGTGGGGTATTTTTTGGCACCTCGTATAAAAAATACATTCTTTAAGGGGGTGAAATTGAGGGGATAGATGTTTGTATGGAAAACTCATTCAGATCCACGCAGACGAAGACGCTGACATCCACTGGTGATTCCGTCTTCGATGCGTCCCGAATTCGTATGGGGGAAATTAATTTTCTCACGCACTAGTAGACTATATTTTATATCGTGTTAAAATGAATTTCACCCATACAAATCCAGAATGCATAGGCAGTATCTTTAGATTAATCTAAACCTGTATCTTATAGAGTGATTAAGATGTACAGAACATTTCCTCGTCAACAGGTCTACTGGCAGATCAAGCTGTTCTGCCTAGAGCCATGGGCACTGATCTTAGCGCGTGCCATCGCTGGCATTCCCTGCTCGGCGTGCTACATCGTGCTGCCCATCTACATCAAGGAGATCAGCGATATCGACCTCCGTGGTGCCTTGGGCTCCTTGCTTATATTAAATAGGTAAATAATGAAGACTCTTAATCCTACTCTCAGATTACAGACAGAAAATAGGCAGATGGAACGCATACAAGCTCACGTCAGTACGCTACAACGCGTGTTGTGTATACGTCCAGTGAATATGAAGTTTTTACCCGTCTGCGCAATGCAAGAGCGTGAAGCGCGACGCGTAGATAGGGTATAGTGTTTAAGTGTCGCCGCACACGGGCCACCGACCACAGCCACAAAACCGGCATATTTCTTGTAGTTTTCATACATTTTATATGGACTCGCCACACACAGTACGCCGGTGGCCGCCACACGGCTCAAATCGTCGTTGCTCGCTTCTTGTGGCTCGCACCGGCCACTTAATGCGCCGATACAAAACGCCGCCACACGTCACTCGCGCGATTCCCCACCCCTCTCTCCCTTACCTTCGTCGGCCGCTGTCGCGCGATTCAGCCACTTTAATAGCCGCTTCTAGCTTCCCGAGGCGGCGTTTGTGGCTGTGGCGTGTGGTCCGTGTGCGGCGACACTAACAGTCCATATGTATGTTTGTTTGTATGATTTTGACAACACGGATACCAATTAGCCTAGCCCCAAAGTAAGCATTGTAAGGCTTGTGCTATGGGATATTAGGGTAACGGATAGAATACATATACTGTACATATATAAGTATAGTTATATAGAAATACATATTAAACATCCATAACTGTAGTACAAATGCTCGTATTCATCACACAAACATCTGCCCCTATCGGGATTCGAACCCGAGACCTGTCGAGTTGGCGACACCATGAAACCTGGCGTATAAACCACTTGGCCGCAGAGGTCGTCATATTTATGTCAAGTGTAACAACGCCTGCACCGATTTTGATGGTTCAAGAGACAATTAGACGCGATATGGTGAGACAGAAAAAATATAAGTTGAAGAATTATGTCGAATAGGGTATCACTGTCTAGATAATCGAAAATCATATTCATCATTATTAGGTTTCTTACACCATTTTTCATTTTATGTGACTGTTTAGGATCTACAACGATTTAAATTTGTATAATAACCACTTGCCACTTTTAATTTTAATCTTACGTTTGTGTGGCTCTTTCTTAATCTTTCACCCAATAAATACTGAATGGATTTTAATGAAAATTAAAAATAATATAGCTCATACATAATAATAACGTATAGATAATAATTATAATGTATGTAGTTATTGAGTGAATTGGCCACAGTATAACAATAAGTGTCAGGTAAGACGGGAAAAAATCCATCTGCGAGCTATTTTGGCCTGCACAGCCTGCCTGATGCTAAGCGGCCACCATAGCTTAAAGACATGAGCGATACCAAAATAAGCTAAGTTCCTTATCCTGATACAATCCCCTACCCTGTGGAGCCCTGGTACCCGACGCACCGACAGAAACACAACATCACCAAAAGATAGTGTTATTTTACCGTATTCTTTTGTAAGCTGGAGGTTACTTCTCCACTCTTCTTGGAGTTCACTCTTCGTCTCCACTTACTTGACGACTCTGTATATAACAATACAGGGAGAAAAAAAACAGCCCTTGCTGAGTTTCTTATCGGTTCTTCTCAGTACAAGGTCTTGCGAACCGATGGCGTAGCTTCTTGACCTTCACAAGTGCTTGTAACAGCCTACACTGAATAAATGACTTTTCAGACGTCCGCTCCAAAGCGAGCGAGAGAGAAAATTTGCTATACCCTACCGCTCTTCTTTAAAATCGTTATGTTATCACAAGTGCTCGGTTTCAGGAACATCGGCTACCTGGCCAGTTACGTGTGCGCTGACATGATGAGTGTTAACGCGTTGCTGTGGCTGGGGCTGATGGTGCCGACAGTGATGTTCTTCGTGCTCATACTCATGCCGGAGACGCCGGAGTTTCTAGTCAAACAGGGAAAAGTTGACGTGAGTAAGAGCACCACGACAATAAACCAAATGCGCCATAGAGTAACACGGAATTGAGTAGCCATAGAAGCAGAACACGGTTATAAATCGACACTCACACACAATTGCACACAAATACAGTTTCATACATCCGTAAAAATTACGATAGAGAGGGAAGCTGTGTAGAACTCGCAACGCCATCATTTAATGCAATGTCAAAATTCACTCATAAAGAAAATCTAAGTAACATGATCTTTTGGCCGATATTTAGTACATATATTCTTTTGTCAATAATAACCATTTTGATTTATTAGTGACTAAAGCAAAAAACCCTTCAGCAAATTATACATTTTATAACGATACTATAAAACATCAACTGATAAAACTTACAGTTGGCGTAAATTATGCATGTTGCTTAGACTTTTTTTTTTGATGTGTGTAGGTATAATTCCAGAGAGCTCCGAATTTTTTTGTTTCCAAAAATTTTCCTTTTCGAAAGATACATTTTTGGGCACTAGCTTACTAATAAGGGTAGGTGATACACGTTCAATTCAAGCTCTGTAAAAATCTGTAGTTTATCTGCTATATAAGTTCCGAATATACTATCAATAACTTTTTCAGCAAATGGTAAAGCAGGCCCTAAGCTTTATCAATTATGTATGTTCAATGTTGTTTTAGGAGGCAAAAGCAGTATTGGCTTGGCTACGTGGAGTCTCTCCTGTGGACAGAGCTCTAGAGGCAGAGATAGAAAATGTGGTGCGAGTAGAGAAACAGACAAAGGCGGACACCAAATCAGTCTGGGGAATCATTTGTGAGTATCTGATTTCACACTGGACTGTTTAAAGTGGCAAGTTTGGCAATGGTCGGTCTAAGGATGGATGGGCGAAAATCTATCTTCCCGAGTTCATGTGCTAGAGCTTTTGGTTTCAGCTACATCAGCATTGTTCTCCCTATGTAATTATTTCTTATTTGTGTTTGATTATGCTTGAAACTGGAGTCCGCGGTGCACTCCACACTGCTGAAGACCGCAACAAGTGGAAAGCGATCGTCCACAAAATAATTCGTGGAGGTCACGACCCTCAGCAATGAGGCGCACGACACAAGGAGGAGTACGATGCTTGAAGCGCGATTTCCTATAATACTGATGTAACCAACCTTTTCCCTATGATTACAAAGTCTGAACATGATACTGTTTTTTGCTAAAGAGAAGACAGAAACTGAATAAGGTTTAAAATAAGGCTAACTTTACTCCGCGTTTTGTATAACGGCGATTTACGTTTCGCTGATTTTAAGACTTGATTACTCCTTTGTACATGCAGTACGCGACAAGCCGACCCGGAAAGCGTTCATCATCACTCTAATCATCAAGATAGCGCAACAATTCGATGGTTACTTGATAGTCCTCATCTACGCCGGATTCGTGTTCAGTCGGGCCTCTGATAGCATCAGCCTGAAGCTCAGCCCCAACAAGCAGATCATTATGATTGGATTGGTTCAGCTGCTTGGCTCCATCTTCGCTACCTGCATCGTGGAGAAGACTGGGAGAAAGGTTAGTAGAATTCTTACCTGTATGTTCCTCAATAAAAAACTTACACTTATGTAGTTCTATAGGTACTTGATGTGCTTATCTATATCGGGTTTGTGTTCAGCTGGCTTATCTCTCAATAAGCTGCATCTTCTTCTTTTACTTTATTTGTTTACGATACGAATTTTATCTTGCTCATCTACTCCGAGTTCGTTTTCAGTCCAGCCTTCGATAGCATTAGCTTCATGGCTCAATTACACTTGTGACAATACGAGTGACAATGGGAATCGGGTAAACGGCTAAGTGTAAATGAACGAAGTTGTCTACGCCTGTATTCGGGTTTTTTTCGTTTACCCGACATAGTCTTCCAGTCCGTCTTCCAGTCCGTCTTCCAGTCCGTCTTCCAGTCCGTCTTCCAGTCCGTCTTCCAGTCCGTCTTCCAGTCCGTCTTCCAGTCCGTCTTCCAGTCCGTCTTCCAGTCCGTCTTCCAGTCTAAATATTGCTTCGGTTGCCCGAATTCAAGTAATGTCTTTCGTGCACCCGAATACGAGCTAACAACCAAGAGTGTAATTGAACCATAAAGCTCAGCTCCAACAAGTAGATCATCACAATTAATTTGGTACATATATGGGTCCCCATATTTGCAAATTGCATTGTGGAAAAGACTGGGTAGGAGTAAGTGAGAGATATGAAAGATGATGCTATTTGAATTACGATGCGCTTAAACATAATACTATTGGAAAGGCTGACAATCCTTTTGGGCAATTTATGATTTTTTTTCATTGGAAAATTAAAGTTTCTTTGAATGCGCATAAAACTTATTCCAATGTATCATTTGTTTGAAAAATAACATATGAGCCAGAGCACGCCTAATTTCCCAAATAACTGTAATACTAACTATAATCTTTATCTGAATATAACATCATCCTAAATATCTTAGGGTATGTATAAGATTTAGTGTTAGATACATTCATGTCATAAGATTTTTTAACCTAGAAACTTCGTATTGTAACAAAGATTCTTCATCAAGTTTTAGAAGTCTAAAGAGGTAACCGATATTAATTTCTCTAACAGTCAAATTTTCCGTAGTTCTTTTTACAATATCCATTTTTTTACATATGATTATTGAACAAAATAACATCTGTATACTTTGTTATGTCTGGAAGCTTGATTGATATACACTCCTCAAATAATTATTCTTTTACTTACTTAGCAAAATTGCATAAAATTAATTCTGTCTTTTGTTTCCATACATTTCACTTGGCGTCCTCGTGTTGTTATGAAATCATAGAACAATATATAAGAATTTACAATAACACATTAAGGAGTTATTGAAATGAAAAATCTGTTGTGTCTCAGTCAACGCGTGCCTTTCACGTGATTGTGTAAAAAACTTTTGTAAACGACAATATTCCATTGTCATTGTAAAAGATTAATGCATCTCTTTTTCCTTTAAACCCGCGACTAATTAGGTTATTCTTATTTGTATACCTACCTATGTGACGCAAAACTTGTTTAATAAGGATTTTGGTGATTAACATAAATTACATAGATAATTGAAAGGTTATTGAACAAAATTTTAACACTACGGAAGCTGCAAAGGGACAAACGAAGCCTCAAGTTTACATGTTTAGCTTACATGTAGAAACCTATTGTCCAAATTGAAAAGTTTATGTAATAGTTATATTGAGAAATAAATATAGGTAGATCCATGTTACTTTATGAATAACTTGTAGGAATTCAATGCAAGTAAAATGTAGTACTTGCATAACATTTATTTTCTGCAACATAAATGACGGTCAGTTGGGTATCTGACTCTGTACGGACCGTACCTACGGACGACCATAGTACTACTGAGTCCAAAATTTCTGCCTACATATTGTGCCAAGGTGTTTGAAATAACTGTATTTGATGTGAAACATCTATTCCGGCAGGTGAAAGAACAGTTATTATTATGAGCAACACTGAATGGCAAATACTTGAAATCCTGAGTCAGCAAATGTACAAGCTATTGCGGTTAGTGTGACAGCAGCTATTAGGAGGATACGTTAAATGGCAAATATCTACAAGCTTGTACAGTGAGCTTTCATTATACCGAAGTTTATTAAGCATACTTAAGAGCTTCGTTGGTCTAATGGTCACTCAAAAATACTAGCTGGAGGTTCGGTTCGAGGCCTTTCTTTAGTTTTCAAGTCATATTTCTATAATTATTTCTTTTACTTTTAATTAGCATGGAGGTTTCGTATCTGCCAGGCTTCCCACAACGGCTCATTTAAAAAAACTTAGTTCCACATTTTAACTGTTTCCAGCTTCTCCTAGTGACGACCTCGTTTGCCGTGGGTATTGGTATGCTGATCCTGTCCGTGTGGTTCTACGTGACGTCAGCAGGCATCTGGATGCCGGGCTGGCTGCCCGTGCTGGCCATGTGTGTGTGCATCTTCGCTGATGCTGCTGGCTTCCAACCCATCTCTTATATCATCATTACTGACTTGTTCACATTCCAGGTAGGTGAAACCAAACCTACTGTTTTTAGCTAATAAATACTAGTTCTACGTGATGTCACCAGGTGTCTGCTGCCGTCTTCTAGCCCAACTCATTTATCATCAACCCACACCTCTTCACGTTCCAGGTATGTTAAACCAATCCTAAATCCTGTTTCTAGTTTTTCCTAGATGTACGGGTTATTTCGCTGTGGGCGTTGGTATGTAGCCTGGATCTTATACTTCATCATTACTGACCTATTCACGATCCTGGTAGGTTATAAAAAACCTATATTCTGTATCTAGCCTCTATATACTGGTTCTATATGAGATCAGCAGGCATCTGAATGCTCGAGCTGGCCATGTGTGTGCATCATCGACATACATTCTGGAGTCCTATATCCTCAAAATGTGTGTCGGGTGACCGGTGCAGGAGTATTGTCTAGTAGTTTTTAGCGAGTAGAGCCTTGCTTATTCCACCTAGCCAATGAGCTAGATGAAAAAAGGTCTATGTAATGTATCTAGCCCCTATAATGTCCGTGTGTAAATTCGCCGCCGCTGTGGGCTTCCAGCCTATGACCTCATCATCATCACTATTTACGTTCCAGGTACGATGAGCGAAAGATCTTTGAACATCCAGATGCAATGACCGATGAGATTCTATCTAGCGACCTAATTTTCTCTGAATTGTAATGTATCTCTAAATTGTATTGTGGAAGAGTTTTCTACTTGCGGCCATTAAACAGACGACAAATCCGACAATGCAATCGGGATTTACGGCATTTATAACATGTTCTCCAAAGTACGGAGCATCGCGAAATAATAAATTTTTAAATAAAACTAGTTTCAACGGTATACACTGATTTATTTTTCTTGTTTCTTGGCGGATAATTCTGACGACGACACAGCCTGAAAAGGATGCGAAACGTCAAGAAACAAATCAATCAGTGCATCTTTACCGTTACACTTGCTGTATTTAATGAGTGGTGTGCGTGAAAACCTAAGAAATAAACATATTAAAATTTTTGTTCATATAGATAGATGTACTGAGAAGGCGCCCTCTTTTCATCTTAAAATTAGAAGACTAAGGCCCGTATTATAAAAAGATTCTCAGTGATTGATCTAGCCTTGAGCATAGTTAGAAAGGGATGTCGCTATGTATAGCACATAGCGACATCCCTTTCTAACTGTACCCAAGTACAGATCAACACTTAGTTGTCATTCTGTAATACGGCCTTAGTCATAATACAAAGAAAGTAATTAATTCCTTGAGGAAGTCGGTCATGTGAAAGATAAATTTAATGATCTTTTCCATTACAACATGTGACTTCCATTACAATTTATTAAAATAAGATAGCTTAGAAAAATTTGATTGTTTTAACAATTTACGAAATAGCATTTAATCATTAACATCATAAACAGATACAGTTTTTACACTAACACGAATTATACAAAACTCCCATTCAAATTAAGAAATGGCTTTATCTATTTAAAGTTAATGACTGTATGTTACGGTTCATCCAATAATTCTAAATGAATGAATATATTAGAACATTAAAATATTTAAAGATAGAAGTTCTTTAATGAATTCTTTATACTTGCGCGAAATTCTAAGTTAAAGTTTTCCTTCAATATAAAATTTACAAATTGCTATGTATTATTAAACTCGTTCTAGCAACATATTGCATACTTGCATACATTAACCACTTCACGTAAAGCATTCCTTACGAATTTAAATCGTCACTGCTGCAGCGACCTACCCTATGGGTGGAATAGGGAGAACAGACTATGATGATCCACTACGTCACCTGGTGGAGAATAACAGGTACTGACGACTGCAAATGAAGTCGAGACCAACGAATTACCGTGGCCTCCGAAGCACGTAGGAGTTTTAAGTAATACACTTTTGTCACTTATTGCAAAAGTTGCCTAAAATTTACGATCGCAGGCCCTTTAGGCCCTCGAAGGCTCGCTAACTAACTTACATTATCATTGTACCTAATTGTTAAAGGCCGTTGTTTTACCGGATAGCGGATCGATGCGATATACTTGACCTTCTCATCAAGACATTGCTCAACAAAGACCCACATATACCACCGACCTGGTGTTCGGTAAAACAACGGCCGTTAACAAGAGGCCTTACCCGTCTCATGGAGAAAAACTAAATATTGAATTACCAACAAATCTCCATCAATGCAAAATCCAATATGATTTTCTCACTCTTAAATTTTCACGCAGCTCCGCGGCACCGTGTCAGCATTCACCAACATATGCGCCAAACTCAGCAACTTCGTCCAGATGAAGTGGTTCACGAACCTCTGCGAGCTGATCGGCATCCACTGGACCTTCCTATTCTTCGCCATCGTCTGCTTCTTCTCCACTATTTACACGATCTTCGATTTCCCCGAAACCAGGAACAAGACCGTCGACGAAATCTACGAGAAACTAAACAGTAGAGGGGAAAAGGACAAGAGTACTGCTGTGCCGTAATGTACCTGAGTTTTAGTGTGTTGTTGTGAATAAGCATTAGGTGTTAGGATTGGAGGCCAAATATTAATTATGTTGAGACACTGGCAGTCAGAATTGCGACTAGATAGCTAGACAATACTAAAGTTTTAATTATAACTCTGTTTATAACAATTATGCCATTAAAAGATACTAGCAGTCGATTAGATAGATTAGTGTCGATTTTGACACGATTCTCTAAATATAAACTTAAATTTGACAACAGTGTTTCATTGTCGTTCTCTATACAAAATGGAAAGTAGAGGCTGATGTTAAATTTGGTTTTAAGTTTAGAGAATTATGCCAGATTCAACACCATTGTCTCTAATCAATATCTATATCTATCTAATCGATGCAAAGTTTTCAAAATCTCTTTTTATAAATGTGCCTTTGAGTCTCGATTTAAATGAATATCTCTTCACTTTAGCATCTTCTTGTATATTGATTATAAAATTGGTAATTAAACACTGAACAATAGAGATTCAAATAATAATTGAAGAGGTTTTCGTGATCTAGCTGAAGTAAAGTTCGTATCTTTTTTTAGATGATCGCTTCCAATTATAAGGTCTTTTGTCTTTCAGTGATCAGTGACCTTTTTGGTATTATCCTTATATTCCATTACCATTTGTAAACAAAGCATAATGTTATGCTTACTTCAAAAAACCTTATCGTTTCTAAATGATAAGATAGAAAGTGCCTCGAATTCTTAGCACGGTTTGTTATCCATGAAGCTTTATTGCAATAAGCTTTGAATTTTTGCATGTTATATTCATAGTACTGTTATGAATGGGGTTTTAGTAAGCATTATTGAGAGATAATAACCTCTTACTAAAGGGAAGGAAAGCACAATGAGAAAAAAGATGTGCCAAACAATGTATTTGATGAATGGGATATGAAAACGATTGATTTTATTTAAGACAATGATTTATAAAATGCTTAAAATGATTATTTGAATTTTACTAAAGTTGACATTTCCATAATTCACGGGAATAAAATTACACCGGCTTTTTGGAACGGTTAGAGAAAACGTTTTTAATTATCTCAAATATATTTTAACAGCTGACTTAAGCCTTCATAATTTGTTGAGGCAAATCGAAATAAATAAAGTCAACTAAATTCCTAACAAATTTCAGGCAGGATCCTGGAACAAATATATATTTGTCCATTATCTCATTTGGCATTTGCTTGAATTGAACAAAATCAATGTTAATTACATTTATAAATAGGCAATACAATTAATTATTTTATTCATTAACCTATTAAAGTTCAATTATTAGTCATATATTTATATTAATTAAGTGAGTAATATAAACATCAGTAATTTGTATGGTGTCGGAAAATAAATGATTGAAGATGTCGGTGTAGATATAAAAGTACTTAACCCAAAATCGATTTTATCGAAGAAATTGTGAATGTTTCTACCAAATAAGTAAGTTTTACTGATTATTTTACTATAACGGTAATCCTTTAATCTTTCAATTATGGACTTTATGTTAGTGGATTTGGTCCATTACTTTTTTCGCACGAAACAATAAAATAATAAATTAACAAGAAAAATGCAGTATTAGAACTGATCAGATTTCTTTTCGTCTTAGGAGGCTCTTCTATGAATTTCGAATATCGACTACAATCTAATTTAGTTTTAAACTCGCACGGAACTAGCAAAGGTTGTCATAATTCTTGTATGTTATATAGCTGTTATATAATATAAAATAATTATTTTTTAGCTTAGTTTGCTTGGGTACACCATATTAAGTGATCGGCAAGGTATATTTTGTTTAAAAATTATTTAATTTTGATAATTAAATTCTTAATCAAGAAACAGTTTTAGAATAAAAAGTACTTACGATAAAGCTACAAGTTTTTTAATGTTTTTCTTGTCATAAAGTTTCTATAAAGCTGTAAGTTTTAAACGGCTTTATATAATATATATTGTTATAAAGTTTGTTAAGCAGATTCCTATTACATTTTTTAAATGTTCTAAGTACTTAATTAAATGAGTACCTTAGAATAAAATTACAGACAGCCATAATGTATAGAGTTATAATTATTTAAAACCAAAATCTTAACAAAACTTATTATGTAATGAGATGAGACAGTATGTCATTTTAATTATTGATAGTATTTCTAATAATGTAAGTTCTAAAATAGGAAAGTAAATGTGATAACAAAATGAATGTTCTGAAGTCGAATACTTCATTGTGTTAAAAAATATTTATAAAATGAATAAAATAATAGTTTTATTAATAAGATTAATATATAACTAGTTATATTAACTTAGAAAAAAAATAATCATAGATATTAAGCTATTTAAAATGATCTTATAAATATAGTGTAATAAGGCACCTTATATAATAAAAAGTGTTGTTTTGTATTCAATGATGTAAATACTTATTAATTAATAGGCTAAACTAGTTTTTAATTACGTACAAAATGCGCTATTGCAATTCTTTTAATTTGTTGATATAGTTAGCGGCAAACTTCTTGAGAAAAACCACAAACAAATAAACTTGCGCAGTAGAGGTTTTTTGAATGTAAAATTGCTACTGCGCAGGTTCCTTGTCTTTGATCGCTGCCAAGAAGTTTGCTGGGATGTATACTCAAGCATGTTGTGGCCTAACTTTTACAAATAAAATATTCCTTGGAAATTTTTCTACAACGGCAACATATTTTTTGAGTAAAAACTAATTGTCTATCAATGCAATGTTTTATATTGAACTGCAATCTACAAGGACACTCTGTAGTCTTTATGCATGGCGTATTGAGTTTTAAGTTTCAAAGAATAAGAGTGCATTTGTATGAAAAGTAGAGAAATATAATTATGTCGACAGTGGAAAGGCAAAATCGCTTATACGCCACTTTGGTGGAAAATGAGTTATATATATAATTTGAATCAGCTTTTATTTCTGCGTCGATCTGTTTATATTACATTAAGATTTGAGTACTTTTTCGGCGCTTAAGCAACTCAATTTTTTGAAGTTGTTTATGGTTCACAACGCTGAAGCGACTTTTTGGTGTTTTTTGAACCAATGGCGCTAACGCCCTACTATTTGGCGTATGATTAGATGTTTGCTTGAAAAAAAAAGTATGGCGGGCCGAGTGATTTTCGCTTAAGCGACTTTTAATTCATGAAGTAACTTTTTAAGAGGAGGATATTTAGAAAATATAATTTATGAATATGTTTCTATTTTTAAAGCGCTACTTCTCATTTACAATGAGTTATGATTTTTTTGTGAAAAAAGAAACTTTGATTTTCGTTTCTGTAAAATGACTAAAGTAGCGTTTAAGCAATTTTGTTTTTCCCCTGTCGATGTGTGTGAATTAGGTTTTCTTCTAACTCGTTTTTACCTTATTCTTTGAATATTGAACGCAATAATTTATCTATCAAAAAGTTACCTTTAAAGATTTCCATTATTCGAGTAAAGTTTGATAAAGACACGTGTTGTCTTATTCCATTAAAATTTTAAAGAAACTGACACCGCCATCTTTAATAATACTTGTAAATTGTAAATTAAATCAATGACCCGATGTTTTTAATTATGATGATATTCTGTGGGTTGTTAAGTTTAAAAGATATTGTGTAATGATGTAATCGTTCATATAGTCTGCAACAATTAGGTACCAATTAAATATATCTAATAATTTTATTCTAAAGATTCATTTGCCATTTTGATGTCAAATAATAATAAGATTACTTATATGCGTGAATGTGTTGATTATTACTACGGCTAAAATTATGCTTAGCCACAATGAGTGTATTGGTGCTGAGATTTATTTTAATAAAATGATTTATTCACAAAACTTGTGATTTGCAAGTTGCTGTAATCACATATCGTTTTTATTTTCCTACTTGCTAATTTTGCAAATAAGGCTGAACTCACACCGAAAGAGCGGCGAAGAGCAGCGACCCGCTCGGTAGAGAAGGCGCCGCGCTTATGGAATTCGTCGGAATTCCCGCGGCGCCGCGGGAGTCGTTCGAGTTTCTCATGCGATAATAAGTATTATAGTAATGAAAATAAAGTTAAAATTCATATGACACTGAATTTGCGCTCCGCTTCGCTGCGCTTCGACGCTCTTTTGGTGTGAGTTGAGCCTGAATGGTTGTTGAATGCTCCGCGGAATGAGTGCCCTAAAAGAGGTTTGTTAGCATTTGGCACGATTTAACCCTTAAATTCATACTGTAGGATACAACCTACATAATATTCTAAAGGCTGAAGATCACGTACGCCTTTCTCTTGAATAACACCATGCCACTTGTACATCGAGAACAGCTCAATTTATTTTTAAATTCGTAATTTGTTGGCAGTACTGGATTATTTTTAAATATTTGAATTTCATAACCTAAACTTGTTTGTGATTAACGGTAAGAAAAGGTTTATTAGTAAAAATTAACTAAAAAAATAATTAATTAACTGATTCCGTGGGTAAGTAGTTTTTGTTGGACTTTCAATAGTAAATCTAAAGAAATATTACTAGAAAACATTCCACGCGGACCTATTTGATAACTTTTTTGTCATTTACAGTATGTAACTAAAGAGAAAATTGCATATCCATCGATGCTTTTCAGAACAAGTATCTTAGTGTCGTTATAATAAAGCAGTTGTGGATCACTAAATAGCTCGGTGATTATCAATTTCATTTATCAAAAGCAGTTAGCAAATAGGTCTACTGGTCTACGTACATTTCTTTTCTAGTCAAATTTTCTGTAGATTATATGCTATAAATGCTTAAATAATAAAAATATAACTTTTCAAAGTAAGTTTGGCAATGGGAGGGTATTCTAACGATTTTTTTTTTATTAAAAGAATATCCACTCGGATAGGATTTGAATATATAAATGTAGCAGCACAATATAAGGTTTAAAATTACAATATTTAATAAATCAGGAGAGGTAAGGCTTTGCGGATTTCCGCTCGAATAGGAGCGACCACTAAAAATAATTGACGACATACATTAAAAATTACAGTAAATACATCAGACATTAC